GTTATGTGCCTTTTTATACAGTGTATGTAAACTTCTGGTTTCAACTGTCTATTTTGAGGGGAACTACTGTTGCACAGAAAACTATATAACACATTTTGATGTATAGGATATTAGCAGCTGATAATGTTGGAAGCCACAGACAAATGTACATAATCAATTGCATGAATGTACCAAAGCAAACGGAACTTGTGCAAAACAATGAGAAACTGATTATATGAAATGAAGTAGCTAGATGATGTGGAGGTTGAACAAGCAGTTTTGAAAATGGCATTTCTGATCTGAGAAATGCACTTAAGCCACTGAGAAATAAACTATAAGGTCATTGAGTAATTTCAAACTGATTAGCCCTATTGTGAAATTTGAATTATTTTTCCAAGTATTTCACAAGTGATGTTTAACAGAGCCAAGGACATTTTCACATTATTTCCAAGAATTTATTATTTATTTAATTATTTTGCTTCAGAAAAGTCATTACTTTAGGTTTGACCAGAAAATAATTTTAATACATATACAGACATGGGCAAAATTGTTGGTAGGCTAGTCTACAATTTTCTCCTAGGCAGTTTCATTGGTTTGTCTTTTTCAATGCTTCTATTGAGCCATAATTTGATTTTCGTCAATCCAACATAGGCTCATTCGGAAAACTTTCCCCTATATACGTTTCTAGAGATCACAAATTATGTAGCCAGGAGTATTTAGGATGGAAAACTATCATATGCATTTGTTTTTATTGCAAACATCTCTTTTTTCACCAAAGAAGGTCCATACTGACTCCGAAGACAGATACTGATAAGATCAGGGCCTGGTGTGTGGACTTTGGGGGTTTTACGATGTGGTCACATGTTGATTAGTCAGTTTGAATGTCTCAGTATTTGGGATTTGGTCACATGGTCATGATACAAACTTTGCTTTTGCTACTGCTCTGGCATCTTTCTTCTCTGACTATACTGCTATCAGGCTTTTTTTGAGGCCTACTTACTCTCTTTAGCTGTATCCCAAATGGCACACTATACACTATGCACTCATGCACTATGTACTTATGGACTTACACACTCAACAGGATAGTATATGTGTGTAGTGTCGTCCCAAATGGCACACTAATCTGTTTTTACTAAGCAGAAATTCAAACCATTTCCCTGATGACGTTTGACGGTTGCCAAATCAGTGAAATAAACGACCGAATTATCAAATAATACCTGCCGTGAGTATTGCTGCATTCACCCTCGGGAGGCGCTATAATCACTCTCGTAGGAGAATTTTGCTTTCACCATCAAAAATAAATAAAGTTATTCAACATGTGCGTCCGATAGCTCAAGGCTCTTCCGCTACGTAAGCAAACCTGCGGTCGTTGAGTGTGTGAAGTGTCCATCATTACACACTTCATTTTAGCGGCTGAATGAGTGCATCATCCGGGTAATTAAAGTGCACTTATTATTTTTAGAGTTTTCAGTGTGAACACATTACTTACACTATTTATACTACAAAATAACGTAGAATAGTGCATAAGTATGCGATTTGGGGCGCAGTGTTTGTCTCTCTGTCCCTCCCCCTGTCTCTGCTTCTACCTCTGGTAACTTTATTTTACATTTAAGCCAAGTACAATTATTATCATATGTTTTTATAATTTCATTTTTAATCATTTTATACAGTTATTTGTAACTAATTCAGTTGTAACCATAGAGAATTATTGTCAGTAAATCAGCTCATTTTCAAGTGTTTGTGAGTTACTTTTGATTTAACAACAACACATATTGTAATGCAATACAATCATGCTCTCCCACCTTTTAAGCTAATAATAATAACTTTATTTCTGTTTGCAAAAGAATGGTTTGACTTTGTACAGTTTTCCACCATCAATACTGTTAACTTTTTAGCAATTCGGCAAAACTACAGTTCCAACCGTTGTGGTTTAAAACATTCCTTAGTCTTAAGTCTGGTGAAGAACGGTTCCAGAAAGCGGAAAAGACAGTCGGTCATTAATTAATTCACTCAGTCAGTCAGTCGACAGCGGCCTCTGGTGGATTTACGCGAACACAGCAGGCGCAATGCCACTTGCGAGAGAAATTTGAGATCTCAAAAAGTGTACACAGCGGCCTCTGGTGGATTCACGAAAACAAAAACTACAAAAAAAAAAAAACGTTTTGGATGTATTTGGCGCTCTCTAGAAATGTATATAGCGATACGTTTTCAAAATGAACCTGGGTTGGATTGATCACTACAGCCATGTTGTTTCAGTGTCCAGTGTAGTTTTTCTTTCTTCAATGGAAGGCTACCAACAATTTTGTCCATCTCTGTATATTTCAGGTCAATATAATTAGCTCCCTTAAGATTTGCCTTCTTCGATTGGCTATGGAACTGCTTACTGCTGTCCAATGACCTGATCTTATTAAGATAACTGGCCTAGTTAACCTAATCAATGGATTTCATATGTTCATTGACGCTTTTGAGAGATCACCTAAAGAGTGAGTGATAGGTTTTTCAGGTAATCCATTTTGCTGTTTGCACTGTACACATTGTTTTGAGAAATGCAAATATTCCATAAGCTTAGTTCCTTATTTATCAGGAGTCACCACAGCGGAATGAACCGCCAACTATTCCAGCATATGTTTTACCAGCCTGATCTTGCGAGAAAACATAAGTATTTTAAGTTTTGCCAGTTTAGTCGCTAATTCGTACAAATTCGTACAAGTTCAGTCATACGAAATTGTATGATTTTAAAAAGAAGGCTTGGCACCCAACCCCACCCCTAAAGCCAACCGTCATTGGGGGATGAGCAAATGGTACTAAATTGTACGAATTAGATTGTACATATTCATACAATTTAGCCACTAAATGAAAAAGTTACAAATTGCCGTGAGATTGTGTTGGTTTTACGAAGCGGTTGTTCTAATCATAGACTGTAAAATATATGGACGCAGTATCCGTGACGTCACCCATAGGTTTCTGAAGAGCGCAAAAGAAGCCACAAGTAGGCGCGGCCAACCGTCGCCATTTTGTTTGCGTGTCATCACACCCACGGCGGGATACCAAACATGGGCAAAGAGGCGGAGAGTGGGCGGAGCTACAGACATCTGCTGGCATTTTGCTTGGACCTGGTTCAGACACACTTTACTTTGGGAGAACGCTCAATACTTTATCACCTTTGACTCATTTGTATTCTGACCACTTGTGCTTGGTTGTACACTATATCAATAAAGTGTTTAGACTTTTAAAAACACTGCTGTAATACATTGAGCCACTAAACATTGTTCTTATGACGTTTTTCAACAGGAGGAAAACGCGAATTACTTACAAACACTTCAGATATAGTCTGTGTTAGTTAATGTAAGACTATTGATGAAATCCAGCATAACACTGTATGACAACGCTTCAGATGACTGATCTAGAGCCTACAGCTAATCAATCTGTCAGATTCTGGAGTGCATTACAGCTCTAAATATAAATATAAACGATAAAGGATCTTAAATAAAACAAATGCATGTATAGAGATGGTATATAAGTATATAACTTTACTCACATGGGAAACGGAGGCCACGTGAATGGTTTGTGAACACAATTAAGTGCACTCAGCATGCCATGCCATCTAATAATTGTAGGAAACAAGTCCAAAAGGCAGTTGACTGTGTAAAGCCACATAAAACAACACAGAAATACGATAAATATGCCGAGATCAGTGGCTAATCTGCAGGATTCAGCTGAGGTGACGTGATGGCGACCATTGAGACCTAGCTGTCACTCAAGTGGCCACGCCCTTAATTATGCAAACTTAATATAACTTAATATAAAGGAAACGGATGAGTTATAAAAAAATTCACCCCCCTCACAGTAGTCATGAAGGGTAATATTAGCTGTATTAACCAAAATCTTTTTTTGTACCAGGCTGTAAACACCTTTTTTTCTGCTGTTAAGTTGGTCATTCTAACAGTGGGCTCAATTGAAATTTGCTCTGTTTTGGAGCCAGGAGCGGCCAGGACTAGCGGAATTTCGGATGAATTGCAGTTTTAGTTACTTCCGTATTGGCTTCCTGAGGGAGAGCGGGAGGTTGCCGCTTGGCTCTAATGTTAGCAGTAGGCTAACATGAGCATTTTCCAAAATCTCCTGACACCTAACAACATTATATTAGTTTCTCAGTACATTTGAATCACTATAAAGTACTATAAATTTGTCTTTCTAGGGAATCTTACTTGTATTATGGTGATACTGTTTGTCGACAATTTGCAGGGATGGACGCAAGTCTGTCAGTATCAGGCAAACGTTAGCATTGTCCAACATGTCCTACACTTTAATGCTGGGTTTCACACAAATTGATTTGTGTTAACACAACATGAAGGAGTTTAGTTTACTTATTAGTTTCTACAAATATAAGTGAATTATTTTTAAAAAGATAGAATAGAATAGAAGCAGTTATAGAAACAGCAAATGTCCTTTTTTGAGTGTACTGTGCCTTTAATGATGATTTCCCTGCTGAAAAATCCAGCTTAAACCAGCCTAAGCTGGTTGGCTGGTTTTAGCTGGTCGACCAGGCTGGTTTTAGAGGGGTTTTGGCCATTTCCAGGCTGGTTTCCAGCCATTTCCAGCCTGGTCTTAGCTGGTCAGGCTGGGAGATGACCAGCTAAATCCAGCTAAAACCAGCTTGACCAGCCTAGCCAAGCTGGAAGTCCAGCCAAAACCAGCTAAATCCAGCTTAAACCAGGCTGGTCAAGCTGGTTTTAGCTAGATTTAGCTGGTCATTTTCCAGCCTGACTAGCTAAGACCAGGCTGGAAATGGCTGGAAACCAGCCTGGAAGTGGCCAAAACCCCTCTAAAACCAGCCTGGTCGACCAGCTAAAACCAGCCAACCAGCCTAGGCTGGTTAAAGCTGGATTTTTCAGCAGGGTTGGGGAGTGGGGGGGGGGGGGGGGGGGGAGTGGGGGAGCTTCAATAAAAAGAAAAATAAACTGTAATGCTACAGTAGTACTTGTTTCTCATTTGACTCACCCCCCTCTGTTTTTCTTTTTCAGGGAAGTGTGAGTGCTGTTAGAAACTGCAAAGAAGTACGACTGAAGACAATCACCATCTTATAAACTGAAGGATGTATGTATGGATGTATGGATAGATGAGAGACACTGCTGCTGAAGGTGTAACTGTGATTGTTTTGGGAGGGACGGGTGTTACTCTTCTTCACCTTTGGTCTTCCCTCTCCACCGGCCCTGTAGCATGTATTGACCTCTCATCGCTCTGGCATGAAACTCTCCGACTGCAGAATGATTTCCCTTTTCCCTAAAGACGTTCAAGCTCAATGGCATTTGTGGCACTGGTCAGGACTCTGCCAGTTAATTACAGACACACACACACACACAACCTCGGAATCAACACTCAAACAGGTCAAATATTTCAGTAACACTTTAGTTTAAGTAACAATTCACACCATTAACTACTGGCTTATTACCTGCCTTTAATGAAGATATTAACTGTTTATGAGTACTTATTAAGTAGGATCTTATTTTACATCCTTAATACTACTCGATACCTAACTATTCATAAGCAGCAAATAAGTCGTTTATTGAGCTAAAAGTCTTAGTTGATGGTTTAATAATAGCTTGTTAATAGTGTGAATTGTACATTAAAATAAAGTTTGACCAAAATGTCAAGATGTAATACAAGCCTTATCGTACACATAAACAGGGGTTGGACAGTGAATCTGAAACGCCTGGTTTTAAATCACAATTATTCATTGGCATGGTGTAGGGCCTCCTTTTGCGGCCAATATAGCATCGATTCATCCTGGGAATGACAGATACAAGTCCTGCACAGTGGCCAGATATAAATAGTGGCCAGATGACAACCAGATGCTGGTGGATGAAAACGTTTCCTGACTGGCTCCTCCAATACACCCCAAAGTGGCTCAATAATATTTAGATCTGGTGACTGTGCAGGACATGAAAGATGTTCAACTTAACTTTCAAGTTCATCAAACCACTCTGTCACCAGTCCTGCTGTCTGTATCGGTGCATTATTATCCTGATACACGGCTGCGCCCTTAGGATACCGTGTTTGAACTTATGAGTGCGCATGGTCCTCCAGAATGGATCGGTAGTCCTTGGCAGTGACGCTGACATCTAGCACAAATATAGAGCCTAAGGAATGCCATGATATTGCAGACCAAACCATCATGAATCCATCCCCATGATTCACTTTGGGTATGCAACAGTCTGGGTGGTACACTTCTTTGGGGCTTCTCCAAAGCGTAACTCTCCCAGATGTGGGAAATACAGTAAAAGTGGACTTATCCGAGAACAATACATGTTTCACATTGTCCACAGCCCAAGATTTTAACTGCTGGCACCATTGAAATTGACGTTTGGCATTGGCATGAGTGACCAAAGTTTTGGCCGTAGCAACCCAGCCATGTTTGTTAACCCTGTGGAGCTCCCAATGAACAGTTTTGGTGGTAGCAGGAGAGTACAGGTGCATATTTAAATCTGCAGTGAGTTGGTGAGCACATCCTGGTTAGCACAAGGACATCTCTTTCAGACAGCTTCCTCTTGCGTCCACATTATTTCTTTCTTGTTGGTATGCTGACAATACCTCGGATAATGTAGCTCATGATCCATCACAAAACATTTCTGTCTTGGTCACAGATGCATCAGCGAGATGCACGCCAACAATTTGTCTTCTTTTAAACTCTGATACGTCACCCATAATGTTGTGTGCATAGCAATATTTTAAGCAAAACTATGCTATT